ACCATCATCATCATCATCATCATCATCATCATCATCATCATCATCATTATCACCATCGTCAGCATCAACATCATCATCATCATCATCATCATCATCAGCATACGCATCATCAGCAGCAACAGCAGCATCATCGCAATCAGCATCCTCATCCTCATCATCATCAGCGTCATCAGCATCAGCATCAGCATCATCATTATCCTCATCATAATAATCATAATTATATTTGTCAGCAGCATAAGCATCATCATTGACATCATCATCAGCCTCCGCATCAGCATCCGCATCTCTATCGGAATCATCATCAGCATCAGCATCATCATCACCAGTATCATCGTCATCAGCAGCATAAGCAGCATCGGCATCAGCATCAGCAGCATAATCAGCATCAGCATCAGCATCATTATCATCATCATCAACATCATCACAATTGATTATTATAATCAGCATCATCATCATCATCATCATCGAACAGCATATTCATCCTCATCATCCTCATCATCCTCATCCTCCTGGTCATCATTTTCATCCTCATCCTCCTCATCCTCCTCCTCATCATCATCCTCTCCTCATCCTTCCCATGCCTATCTCTCTTCCCCCCTCCCCCTCCCTCCTCCTTCTCCTCCCTCCTCCTCCGCGTACCTGAGCCGAAACGGATGCACATGGTGGATATCGTCGCGACGCAGGCGCCATCAACGATGGACGGCACCGTCCGACTGCAGTCACGACGACAGCAACGATGGCGAAGAGACGGACCCAGCCTTGTCCCCGCACGGGCTGCCCGGGATGGTCGGCAGCCGAGGAAGACGGACCACCAGTGGGCAGAAGACAGGCAACACGGAATTGAGAACCAAAAACAGAAGACCGAAGACGGAGGCCAGAGGACGGAGTGGCGGAGGGACTAAAGGGCCCCGGGAGACACAACTCGATCGACACAAAGTCAGGGATTCACAATGATATTCCGTGTTTCCCAGATGCTCCTCGTCACCTCCGTTTCCCATAGCTTTTACCTCAAAATTCCAGAATGAATTATATTTTCTCATGATGATCATATTTTTGTTGTGCGCGTGCCGCGCAGGGGCGCACGGCAGAGGACGGAGGAGGCCCGAGGCCCGAGGCGGCACGAGCAGCTGGACGAAGAGCTCGCCCGAGCGCCCCGCGGCCGCGCTCGCCGGCCCCGCGGCCGGTGCGCCCCCGGTGCGGCAGCGGGGACCGAGCTCGGAGCCTTCGCGGGGGCGCCGGCCCGCCAGGAGCCAGGGCGGCGGGGAGGGGGGCGCCGGCCCGCCCCTCGGAGCCCGACGCCGCGGAGCCCACGCGCCGCCAAGGGGGATGGCTGCCACCCCGCAGCGCGGGAGGCACGCAAAGGGGGGCCCCCCTTCCGCCCGCGCGCCGGGCGAGAGAGAGGGAGAGAGCAGAGCAGAGAGGCGCGCCGACGCGGGCGAAGTTCGCACGGGCGCCGCAGGGACTGGCGCCGCGCACGCGGAGCGAGAGAGAGAGAGGGAGAGCACAGGAATCCCACCGGCCCTCTGGGGCATGAGCGGCTTGGGGAGCTTCCTCTTTCCTCTTGCCTCTTTCCTTTCGGGAGAGGCCTCATCACTGTTCCTTGTTAATATACACAGTCTCTCCCAGGCGACCGGGGGCCAGCCAGGCACCATGCCGACACCATGACCACACGCCCCCAACCATCCCTGTCAAAAACAATACAAACCGCACTCTGCCTCCACATTTGGAGCATGCGCGGCCAACCCGATGCGGCCCCCTCCACCATCCCTGTCAAAAATCAGTGCAAAGTACACTTTGGGGCAAAGTCCTGAGTCATGTTCGCGAGGCCCGCGAGCACTTCGCAGTGTTTTTTGACAAGGACGGCGGGAGTGTCAGCATATTCCCTGCTGCGCGCAGGGCTACCACCCCTACAATACAACATGCACCTCGCGGCTAAATCTGGATCATGCGCGGCCATCCCGCGATCACTGTCAAGTGGTTTTTGACAGGGACGGCGGGGGTGGTGGCGCGTGGTCTGCTGTGCGCAGGCCCAGCAGACACAATTATGGGCATCGGTTTTCGACAAGGATGGCGAGGGCTGACATGTTTCCCGATGTGGTCTGTCACGTTCGCAGGCGCACCTGACGCACTCTGCATGTGCCCCGAACGCGGCGCGGCTGGTGTGCGCCTGGCGCGCATGGCGCCCCTGGCACGCGTGGCGCACCTCGCCCAAACGTCGCGCACCTGGGGTCGGCTTGGCTCCCAGTAGCTGTCCATCCAAAAACGACCGCTGAACATGCTCAGGCTCGGGTGTTACTTATGTGTAGGGAGGCCGGGTGGAAGTGAGCTAGACGGCTTGCGGGCGGGTGGGTGTCTTGACCCCTTCCCCCTACCCCCTATCCCTGGACCTGGAGGGGGGAGGGTGTCGCGAGCAGTTAGAGCGTCCAAAATGGCCTCGGCGAGGAAGCCAACATCAGCGCTTGTACTAAGATGTTGGTCACATTTTGGCCTCCTGGGGGGGATCCAAGTTAAGTATGTAGCACCCCGTAGTTGTGGATAAGAGTGAGGGGGCGGCGGGGACGTCGGCAGTCTGCGAGGCTTTGAAGAAGCCCGCCGCAAGCGCAAAATTTTTCAAGCTATACAACGAGCCCGCCGCAGGCGCCGATTTGTTGTTAAAACACCGTAGGTGGGTCGCGGGTTGGGTCGCAGGTGGGTCGCGGGTGGGTCGACGGTGGGTCGCGGGTGGGTCGCGGCTGGGTCGAGGGTGCGTCGCGGGTGGGTCGCGAGTGGGTCGCGAGCGGGTCGCGGGGTGGATCGCGGGTGGGTCGCGGTTGGGTCGCGGGGTGGGTCGCGGGTGGGTCGCGAGGTGGGTCGCGGGAGGGTCGCGGGCCAGGTCGCGGGGGGGACGACAACAACAACAACATCAAGAAGAATCCTCACCACGGATCCGCACTTCAGCCACGCACCCAGGGACAATGAATGACCGTTCGGCCCCCTCACTCTGACTTACGGCCAGTGCTTTGATCGATCTCCTCCAAGATGGCCCCAAGATGGCCCCCGAGGCTCCGAAGGTGCCCCGAGGCGGCCCCAGGAGGCGCCCAGCAGGCCCCAAGAGGCCCCCCAGAGGCCCCCAAGATGCCCCCAAGAGGCTCCCAAGAGACCCCCAAGGGACATCCAAGACGCCTCAAGAGGACTCGGCGAGAAGGCCAAAATCACTGATGTTCGTCCGAAAAGACTTTGAGAGGCATCATGATGCCTCTTGCCTTTCTGCTCGCCCTCCTCCTCATCATCATCATCATCATCATCATCATCATCATCATCGTCATCATCATCATCATCATCATCATCATCATCATCATCATCATCATCATCATCATCATCATCATCATCATCATCATCATCATCATCATCATCATCATCATCATCATCATCATCATCATCATCATCAGCATCATCATCATCATCATCATCATCATCATCATCATCATCATCCTCTTCCTCATCCGCATACTCCTCCCTCCTCACCCTCCCCTCCTCCTGCTCCTTCGATTCATCCTACACCCTCCTCCTCTTGGTGTTTGAAGTCTTACCCAGCCCTTTACTCCAGCGCATGCTCCTTCACATCCCTGATCAGGGCAACTCGTCTGGGGTTATGCGAAGCGTCTAGAATACATCGAAATACCTAGATATCCAGATGCATATACAAATACAAGTATCGGCGGTGGACAGACCTCCCTTTAGTAAACCACCCTTTATTGAAAACAACCTAGGACCGAAACCGGCGGACCTGGACCCGCAAAATGACGGCCGCGACGCCATCTCGCGAACCGAAGACGGCCAATTCGCTAATCGACGTGTCAGGGTAGGAGGTCGATCAACCTCCGAAAGTAGAGAGAGAGAGAGAGAGAGAGACAATGTACCAAAAAAGTTGACCCTGCGCGACCCCGATCAGAGGAAAACATCCTATTGCATGGGAGCATTACTTGGCATTGTTTCCATTGCTTTGCGTTGCTTGCCGTTGCTTGTCTTGGCAGTGCGTTGCAGTGCTGGGGAACCCGAGGAACAAGACCCGGGAACCCCTGGAACCCAAGCAAGGAACAAGACTGGGGAACCTGGGGAACCTGGGGAACCCGAGGAACAAGACCAGGGAACCCGAGGAAACCCAGCAAAGAACAGGGAACCCGAAGAACCCAGGCAATGAACAACACCGAAAAACCCGAGGAGTCCGGGGAACCCGGGGAACCCGAGGAACCTGGGGAACTCGGGGCACCGGGGGGACTCGAGGAACCCAGGGAACCCAGGGAACCCGAGCAACCCGAGGAACCCGAGGAACGCAGGGGACCTCCGAGCAACGGGCAACGTAAGAATCGGAGGCACCGAAAGCCGAAGAACCCAGAGAACCCGAGGATCCCGGGGAATCCCCGAGGAACGGGCAAAGTAACCTCCCGAGGCACCAACTTTCAACAGAGAGAAAACTCCATAGGCAAGCCTAGTGGGGGAAAAAACAAAGAGAGTGGAAGAGAGAGAGAGAGGTCAAGAGAGAGATGAGGGGCAACGACGTGGGACTGGCTCAGGGGGGAACATCGACCTGGAATGGGTGGTACATCGCCGATGGATCAACGATAGGCCCCCGATAACGAAACCGCACGTTCCTGGGCGGGGTGGACGATCGTGCCCCGATTGGCGATCAAGGAGCGATTGGGGGTCGATGCATCACACCATGTAAAGAGCCGAACTCTTTCCACCGACGCTTTTTCCCGCCCTGCACTTAACTCGCACTGGAAAGCGTATCCTGGTGTATACGGAATCCTGGTGTATACATTTGTCGTCGTTTCCCTGGGAAAACGGGAAACATATACACCACACCACCCCGACTTCGCCCCCGACCCTCGAAAAAGTCCGGGAACTGAAAAACAGCCCGCCGCTGGTAATGTACATGCTCCATTTTCCGACCATGAGCCTATCCCCCCCTTGACGTTGCTCCGGAGAGAAGAACAGAAAAAAAAGGAGGGGCCGCGCGCCTGGCAACATGCCTGGGGTGCCTGGCGCGGCGGCTGCAGAGAACGCTGCGGCGCCTCTGCGGCCGCGTGGGCCGGAGGTTCCCCGCCTGGCTCCTCCCCATGAGGAGATCTGGGCGTTGCGTTCGTCCTCGTCCTCGCCCTCGTCCTCCTCCTCCTCCTCCCTCCCTCCTCCTCCTCCTCCTCCCTCCTCCTCCTCCTCCTCCTCCTCCTCCTCCTCCTCTCCTCCTCTCCTCCTCCTCCGCCTCCGCCTCCGCCTCCGCCTCCGCCTCCGCCTCCGCCTCCTCCTCCTCCTCTCCTCCTCCTCCTCCTCCTCCTCCTCCTCCTCCTCCTCCTCCTCCTCCTCCTCCTCCTCCTCCTCTCCTCCTCTCCTCCTCCTCCTCCTCCTCCTCCTCCTCCTCCTCCCTCCTCCTCCTCTCCTCCTCCTCCTCCTCCTCCTCCTCCTCCTCCTCCTCCTCCTCTCCTCCTCCTCCTCCTCCTCCTCCTCCTCCTCCTCCTCCTCCTCCTCCTCCTCCTCCTCCTCCTCCTCCTCCTCCTCCTCCCCCATTCCTTCTCCTTTTTCCGAGGTTGGTCGGAAGGGCGGGCCGGGCGTTTCGCCTGAGACGTCACTCCCACGTGTGATCCTGAAGCTTGGAAAACGACAACGACTTCACAAACACAGGGCGGGTGATTTTCAAAATGTGGCTCTCGCATTAGCGCCGTGCGCGATCGTCATAAGAATTTGCAAGAGCTTCACAAATTGAGGGCGGGTGGTTTTCGAAATGTGGCATTTTTCGTCAAGAACATTCCTTCGAATGCCCTCTGGTGCACACTCCAGAGACACGTGGGGAAGGCTGGCCCTTTGCGAGTTCCGCGGCGGGGCTTATCCACGTCTCCTCGAAGTGCCCTAGGATCTGCGCCCCCCCGCCCTCGAACTCGCGGGCGAGCACTTCGAAGGCAGCGATGACGTCCTCCAGCGACAGGAAGGCCAAGCGTCGGAGCTTCTTCACGCGCGAGCGGAACGCCTTGATCTCGCTGCACCTGGAAGCAAGCCCGAGCTTCTGCACTCGCTTCCAGAGGGCAGCGGCGAAGTGGAACCAACGGCCGCCCACGTTAATGTCTTCGACATACTGGAGCGCTGCCTGGGCTGCCTGGTAGGATTCCTTCTCGAAGTCGACGAGCAAGGTCTTGTCCGCCGCGCCCTCCGGGATGAACTCGCAGACCTTGCCTCGCATGCGCCTGCACGTTTTGCCGGTCATATTTGGCAACAAGAAGAAGGCGCACGGGATGGCGAAGCCGTTGCTGGAGGCGCGGCTCGCGTACACTTGCGAGAGCTGCCCCGGATGCGTCCGAAACGTCCCGTCGGCGAGCCAGAGGTTGCAGGAGCTCATGAACTCGGGTCTGACTGTGGCCCCGTACGCCAGGACGCGCCCGCCCGCTGGGCCTGTCCCAGAGCCCCACAAGCAAAAAGTTGTCGTCGCCGAACTTTGCGAGCGCTGTCACGAGCGTCAAAGTGCCCAAGGAACTGAAGTCCAAGGCTTGCCCGGGGTCGTCGGCGCCGCCCCGCGGCGGGGGCGCTTGACGAGGGGGGCCAGGGGTCCGACCCGAGGCTTGCTCGTTGGTTCCTGGGTGGTGCGTTTGTTTTCAAGGAGACACGCTTGCAGATGTGAATAAGAAGCGTGGGAATACATTGAATAATCCTGTCTTTCTGAATTTTTGTATGGCACAGCCGTGGCAATATGATGCGCTATGTTCCCCAATCAGAGCTTGCCTCTGCATGGGGCCCTAGCGGATTCATATGGTTATGGTTAGATTTGCCGCCGATTTTCGCCGCACGCCCGGGTGCCCGGGTGCCCAGGGGTGCCCGGAGGTGCCCAGGGGTGCCCAGAGGTGCCCCGGGGTGCCCAGGCGCTCCGGGTTGCCCGGGTGCTCTATCGCCCTATAGGCCTATAGTTTTATAGCCCTATATCCCTGTAGACCTATAGACCTATAACCCTATAGCCCTATAGCCCTAGAAGCCCTATAGCCACATGGCCCTATAGTCCTTATGCCCTATAGCCCAATCGCCACATAACCATATAGCCCATATAGGCCGATAGCCCTATAACCTTATTGCCTTGTAGCACTGTAGCCCTATGTTCCTATAGCCCTATAGCCGTAGAGTCCTATAGCCCTAGCCCTGTCGCCCTATAACCGCATGGCCCCATAGCCTCACTGCCCTTGAGAAATTATGATTGGGGCTTTGCTCCGGTATCATATTGCATATTTGCTGGACTCGCAGGGAACGTCGTTTTCTGCGCGGGTTGCTTGATTTCCATGAAAAAGCCGAAACGTTGAAAAAAGCACCAGAACTAATGTCGTTCTCCGAGCTCGTCAGTTCGAGCTATCTCAAAGATTTGCCATATAGAGCACGAGGAGCGAAAAGGAGAGGAGGGCCGGCCGCCGCGCAATTCCTGGAGACATTTCTCGGTAGCCCGGTCGCGCACGCGCCGGCAAGCCCGGCGCAGCTTCGCTGGCGGGGGAACGGCAGCCACGTCGTCGCGCAGGACCTCGTAGAGGGCAATCGCTGCGACGACGGCCGCCTTGGGGCCAAGGTCGACCGCCGCCCTCTTGTAGACGTCTCCCCCGGAGCGCTCCTCAGCGACGCGGTCCGGACAAGGGAGGCGGGAGCGCGGCGTCAGGGTCTCGATTTCCACAGTGGACCCGCGGATGTGCGCCTTCAGCTTGCCTGGGCAGCCTTGAGCCCCGCCTTTGGACGTTCATGTATATCTTGCTCTTGGTGCTCATCGTCCTCGGCAATGCAGGAACGCATCCAAGCGTCAACGAATCAAAACATCACTGCATCGATAAATGAATGTAGCAATGCTGCAGTATATCCAAGCATGAATGCATCAAGGCATGACTGCATAAAGCGTAAATGCTCAGAGTGTCTAGTCCGAGAAGAGGGACAGAAAAATCAAATTGAGTTGGCAAGCGTGCGTCCACAATGCCCCCTCCTCCCCCATGCCTCCTCCTCGTCCTCCTCCTCCTCGTCTTCCTCCTCCTCTTCCTCCTCCAGACCCTCCTTCACCTCCTCCATCCTCCCCGATCCTCCTGCTGGCTGCTTCTCCCCCTCCTCCCGTATGGCCATGCGGATGACGGTCGGTCTGTGTGCGCGTAGGACCCGCGGAGCCCCTCGGATGGGCGTGAACCCTAACGGGCGGGTCAGGTCGGGCGGGCGGGATATTAAAGTGTGGGGCATACACGAGCGAGCACGCGTGAACCCTAACGGGCGGATCGGGCCCGGCGGGCGGGACATTAAACTGTGGGGCATACACGAGCGAGCACGCGTGAACCCTAACGGGAGAGTCGGGTCGGGCGGGCGTGACATTAAAGTGTGGGGCATACATGAGCGAGCACGCGAGAACCCTAACGGGCGGCGGCGGCGGCGGACCCTAACGGGCGGCGGCGGCGGCGGCGGCGGGACACTGAAGTGTGGGGCATACTCGAGAGGGCACGCGTGAACCCTAACGGGCGGCGTCGGCGGCGGCGGCGGACCCTAACGGGCGGCGGCGGCGGCAGCGAGACATTAAATTGTGGGGCATACTCGGGAGGGCACGCGCGAACCCTGACGGGCGGCGGCGCGGCGGCGGCGGACCCTAACTAGCGGCGGCGGCGGCGGTGGCGGGACATGAAAGTGCAGGGCATACTCGGGAGGGCACGCGCGAACACTGACGGGCGGCGGCGCGGTGGCGGCGGACCCTAACTGGCGGCGGCGGCGGCGACGGCGGACCCCAACGGGCGGCGGCGGCGGCGGCGGCGGGACAAGAAAGTGTGGGGCATACTCGCGCGGGCACGCGTGAAACCTAACGGGCGGCGGCGGCGGCGGCGGACCCTAACGGGCGGCGGCAGCGGCGGCGGCGGGACATTGAAGTGCGGGGCATACTCGATAGGGCACGCGTGAACCCGAACGGGCGGCGGCGGCGGCGGGACATTAAAGTGCGGGGCATACTCGAAAGGGCACGCGTGAACCCTAACGTGCGGCGGCGGCGGCGGCGGACCCTAAAGGGCGGCGGCGGCAGCGGCGGCGGCGGCGACGGCGGGACATTGAGATGTGGGGCATACTCGAGAGGGTACGCGTGAATCCTAACGGATGGCGGCGGCGGCGGACCCCAACGGGCAACGGCGGCGGCGGCCGCAGGACATTAAAATGTGGGGCATACTCGAGAGGGCACGCGTGAACTCTAACGGGCGGCGCGGGCGGCGGACCCTAATTAACGGGCGGCGGCGGCGGCGGCGACGGCGGCGCCAATTCTGGCGTGCCGGCTCTGGCGTGCCGGTTCTGGCGTGCGGCTCTGGCGTGCCGGCTCTGGCGAGGAGGGTCTGGCGTGCCGACCCTGGCTTGTCGGCTCCGGCGTCGAGGTTCTGGCGTCGCGGTTCTGGCGTCGCGGTTCTGGCGTCGCGGTTGTCTGGCGTCACGGTGTCTGGCGTCGCGGTTTCTGGCGTCGCGGTCTTGCCTCATAAAGAACCTTGCTGGCATATACCAGCAATCTTATAATGCACCTACAAGCGAGGTTTCTCTTTGTCGGGCATTTCTACCCCAGCGCTGAGACGCGTGCACCGATCAATTATTTAATCGCTTCGCTCATTCCGCCGGCCCTGGAGCCCTCTTTAGGGCCTCTTGGGGGCCTCTTGGGGACCTCTTGAGAGTCTCTTGGGGCTCCTTGGCGGCTCTTGGGGGCCCCCAGGGCCTCTTGGGGGGCTCTTGGGGGCCTCTTGGGGCGGGAGGGGGGGTAGTCGATTGCGGCTCCCCCCTCGGAGGCCACGATCCTCGTGAGGGGTGTCGAAAAATTGCCCGGTCCGGTGACCCGGACCTGCCGGGACCTTGCCGGGACCTTGCCACGACCTTGCCGGGACCTTGCCGGGTACTTTTCGCCCAGAGACCCCCAGGGGCCGCCCCGCGCGCGCGAAGTAGAATATTGTTAACCAGTTACCCGAGATCTTAGCACGCCTCTGGCCCGTTGGGCCGGCGAATATGGAAGATGAATTGGTTGGTGCCCTTCATGAATCATCAGGTCGCACTCACATTCCTCATTGGACTTCCCTGGCACGCGTACCGAGGGAACTGTGGACTTGCTGGGCCTCTCCCAGGCACGGCATTACATTCGCGGCATGTGTCGCGGACATCCTCGATCATTGACAACCTGGCGGTGCCAAGATCGACATTGCCAAGAATCAAGCGCACATTAGGTTCTTTGGCGTGGAACCACCTCAGATGAAGCTTCCGTAGCCCCCTCTTGATCACAGCGGGGTCATAGCTGCGAAAATTCTGCGAGTTAAGTTGTATGTTGAAACGGGTCCAATCGAGAGATCTGCTTAGACCAATGCCCAGTGCTGGCACGTGGGTCCCGTGCAGCCCGACTTTCGTCAGGTCGTGCGGCCAGCTGTTGGAGACGGCCTCTGCATGGCACTGCCCGGGGTGGATCGCCTGGTCCGCCAGCTGGCGGCCTCACGGGGCCCCCCAAGAGGGAGAACACGATCGGGCAGCTCGGGCCCTCCGCCCCAAGATGACCCCGGGACCGCCAGCAGGCCTCCAGGAGGCCCTCCAGAAGCCCCAGGCCCCCGAGAGGCCCAAATCAGGCGTCACCGGGTGCCCTCACGAGGTTAGAGGCCTGCCAATTGGGGCATCGCGCCAAATCGCCAATGCACCGCCGATGCATCGACGATGCATACGCATCGGCGATGCATCAACGACGCTGGGGCGGAGAAAATCGGGCTACGCACCTCGCCGATGCATCGCCGATGCATCGCCGATGCATCGCCGATGCATCGCCGATGCGGCGTGATCCTCCAACACTATCCAATCTTCGGTGGCAACTCACGGGAGCCTCCTATGACATCGTGCTGGCTCTTGCGAGTCAAAACTAACCGACGCTAGTCGACGCTGATCGACGAGAATCGACGCTAAATCGACGCTAATCGACGCTACATTGGCGCTAATCGGCGCTGAATCAGCGCTTTCTCCTCGATCACCACACGCCAGCGCACGCTAACGCACTCGGAAGACGGAGTTACCAGACCACACGAGGCTCCAATGATTTGGTTTCCAACTGGAGCGGTGCGGGAGCTCCCTCTCGCCCGCACGCCGCGCGGGAGAGAGCGACGCGAGGCGCCTGGCGCTGGGGTGGAGGGCGCAGCCACCAGCGGCCGCGGTGTGCCCGGGGCGGCGGCCGCGAGAGGCGTCGCGGCGCCGGCGCAAGGGCCTGATGGCTCCGCGGCTTCACCCGCGGGAGGGTTGCGGGTTCGACAGCTGCGCTGTTCTAACATTTTCATCGGTCCTCGGCGGTCTGCCAGCCTCGGGATGCCTTCCAGCAGCTGCGCCACGCCAGGAGCGTTCCAGGGGTGCTCAGATCGTCCCGAGCGGCGGCTGGAGCGTCGAGTTGACCCGAAAAACAGGGGGGCAGAATGGGACCCTTTTCACGCGGGGCGGTGCCGGCCAGTCTCGGGCCCCGTCGCGGCTCCAGTCGTGAGCCTCGCGATGCTGCCGTGTCAGCGAGGCGTCGGATGCCAGGAGGCTAGGTCTGGGTGATGGCTCCGCTGGTCGCCAGCGCGGCACGCTGCACTGAGGGTGAGGGCGCCTGCTCGTCGTTTTACGCGAGCACCTTACGCTCGAGTGCCCCGAGACACGAGATGGAGTGCCCTCGGGTCCCTTCAAGCTGTGTCCCGAGCAGCGCGCCGCGGCTGGAGTTCAAGTCAGAACCCACATATGATTTAGCATAGGGGCTCTCACCCAACCATAAAGATTGTTCGATCGGATACCTATGCCTGCTTTGCGGGTGAGACTGCCATCATGTCGTGAATGGTGTTCATGTGGCTGTCATGTTGTTCGTAATAATATGGTAATGCTTCGATGCGGGGCCACTAGTTTGTTGATGTGGTTACTGCTGATGTCGTGGTTGTTGCTGGTGTGGTTGTCATGCCACTATTATTTCTGCTGTAGTCAGTGATAGTGTCGTTGGTGATATCGTCTTCGTTGTCCTGGCAGATGCTGGTCATGCGGCTGATGTATACTTATGACTGTTGCAAGTGCTGTTGTTGCTGGTGATGTGGTACATGTTGCCACTGCTCTGTTTGATGTTGCGCTGTGGTATGACTGATGTTATACTTGATGATGTTGCTAAGTCATTAGTGGTGTTGGTAGTGATGATACTCTCGTTGTCGATGTGATTGTCTATGATGATGTGAATGTTATAGATTTGGTGTGTTGCTGATGCTGCACATGTCGTTCGCAAGACTGGTATGGTGCGTTGGATGTGCACGTACGAGTGATGATGCAACTACGTGAAATCGTAGACCTTCTGTCATTGCGTACGTTGTGATGTTTCATATGTGCACTAACGAAGTGTACGTTGGTGTTGTTAAAGTTGTTAGTTCTGCTGGTGTTGAAGGTGTATCGTTGCAATTATCGGCGTTGGCCTTCTTTCCGTTGCACACGCCTTCAAATCAGGTACGTTCCCAAATTACGCTTTTGCATAAAAAGGTTCTGACCAAGTATACTGACTGATGTGTTTGAGACCTCTGCCTGCTTTAATGATATGGCTGCGGCTGATGCTGCCGCTGCGTTTCGTGTGGCTGGTATGCTGTCATGACGTTTATCCGCCACCGTGCCCCCCGGCACGCTAGGTGTGCTGGAATGCCAAGGGCTGCCTGGAAAGGCTTCTGTAATTTCCCGAAGGGGCTGCCCCCTCTCATCAAACTGCCCTGCATGAATCCCCCCCCACCCACCCATCGAGGCGGCGATCCTTTGTAACATACCATAGCTTCACGCCTCCGAAGCCACAATCCCCCCTGAAATACTGAAAGTCCGCGACCTCCAGGCCACAGCCCGTCTTGGAATACATCCGGTTCGCGCTGCCGCCGCCACATCCCTCGCAAAGCAATACAGGGCCGCGCCCCCGAGGCCCCCGAGGCCACCGACGGAACCAAGACGGCCCCCAGGCACCCACCAAACGGCCAAGAGGCCCCCAAGACGGCCCAAACAGAACCCCAAGACAGCCTGAGAAGGCCCAAAACGTCCCAAGAGGCCCCTCCGAGGGGGGCACGACTGCCCCACAAAAGGTCAGGACTGCCACGGGACGGACCTAACGAGTTCCATGAGGGCACTTCAACGGGTGAAGACGAAAGGTGTCATGTGACGGACCTTGTTCTTCCTCCTCTTCCTCCTGCTCATCCTGCCCCATCATCGTCCCCATCCTCCTTTACACCATCCTCGTCATCCTTATCCACATCCTCGTCGTCATCCTCCTCTCCACCACCACCACCACCACCATCACCATCAGCAGCAGCATCACCATCAGCGGCAGCAGCAGCAGCATCAGCATCAGCATCAGCATCATCGTCACAATCATCAGCATCACCAGCATCATCAACAACAACATCACCATCAACATCCTCACCACAACCACCACCAGCATCACCGTTACCATCATCAGCAGCTGCATCACAACAGCTGTCCAAAGCCTGAGGACACGAGGTGCCACACGTGACGGCATCGCGCGTGCCCCCCCCGAACAGTCGCCGCCCAGAATGTTGGGCTGGACTTGACGCGGGCAGTTGGACAATGTTGTTGTGAATGTGCTTGCGAACTGGTGCTCATGCTGCTGATGTTGCCGTTGTTTGCGATGGTATGTTGGTGGTGCTAATGTTGGTATGGTTGCGTGTGTTGGGACTGCTGTTGTTCCTGTTGCTGTCATTTGCTGCTGTTGACGATGTGTCTTTTTCGTCGACGGCGAAGCCGTTCGTTGTAATGTTGCGATGAGCTCGTATTGTCGTTATAAATGTTGCTGCGACTGTTGGTTCTAAACGCTGCTTGGATTGTTTGTGTTGTGGTTGTTCTTGGTGGTGCTGTTGTACAAGCCGCTCGCATGGCCGTACTGCTGTTCCTGATGTTGTAACTACACGCACTTGAGTTCAAAGTGGTGATGTATGATGGGTAATGTGTCCTATCGGTGTCACTGTCGTTGCCGACGTTGTTGATTATATGGGTGTGGATGTTCTCTCGTTGCTGTTATCGTCGGCGCCCTTGTTTCACAAACATGTTTAAGCATCGGGCGAAATAAGGATTGTGTTTTCGGGCACGTTTTCCGGTTTTGCTGATGCGGTTGTTTCCATGTTTGGGGTCGACATTGGGCTAAGTTCTACTGCGCTGATATTGTTGACGTAATTATTGCTGTTGTCGTCCGAAGCCTCTGCCGTTGGTGGGCCAGTTTTGGGCCAACCGCCCTGGCCTTTTCAGAAAATGGCAGCCCTCGCCAGGAAGCCGCCCCCCTCCCCCGGACGGGCCCGAGGCCTCTCGTGGCTCTGTGGGCCACTTGTGACCCAAACGCCCTGGCCTTCCAAAGGTGGCGGCCCTCACGATGATGGCACCCCCCCCCCCGACGGGCCCGAGGCCTCGGGCTCTGTGGGTCAATTGTGGGCCTGGCGCCCACGCCATCGGAAAATAGCAGCAGCCTTGCCGAGGACGGCGCACCCCCACACGGCCCCAGGCCGCTGCCAGCTCTGTGTGCCACTTGTGGGCCGGGCGCCCTGGCAATCGGAAAACGGCAATCCTCACGAGGATGGCGTTCCTCCCGATGACAACTCTCACGAGAGTGACAAACATCATGCGGACTCTGCGGACTTTGCTCTCACCGCTGCTATTCTTAGTGTTGATGATTTGGTTGCTGATATTGCTGCTGTTGGTGATGAAATTGGTTCCGCTGGTTTGGGTGTTACCGCGTTGATGCGCCTGTGGCTGCGATATTCCCCCAAAGAAAAAACAATGTATTAAAGCCTAGGCATGAAGATTGCCTGATCAGAGACATGTGCCGGAATTGTTGGCTTGAGTGCTGATCATAACGACAGTCCCGCTCATATGGTTAGCGCGTTGTTATTGTTTTGTGTTTGGTACCGTTTTGATGTATGAGCTGCAGTTACTACGTTGTTGTGGTGGTTGATGATGTCGTTATGCATACGCATTTGGTTTCCATGCCATCGTTGTTGTGGGAAACCTCATTGGCACAATTGCGGTGATCATTGGTATTGCCTGGACAGCTGCTGTTCTTATTGTTATGATGTGCCGATGATGTCGCCATTGCTGGTTTTGTGTTTTTAATGTTGGCGTCACTGTTGTCAGTCTTGTTCGACAATACGATGCATCGCGAGGGCTCGCACCTCTATGTAAGATTATTGCGTGTTCGCACACATCAGTCGATTTGGCTGATGCGGTTACTTTCATGTGAGGTTTCGACGCTGAGGTAAAGCTACAGGCAATGTAACGTTAAGACTCCGCCAAAATCAACGCTCCACGCTTCCGATCCTCGGACGCTACCCGTCTCCCGCCAGCGAGCTTCGAGGCGCGACCCCGACACCTTAATCCATAGCGAAAGCACAATTGATTGCCCCACAACAGATGCCCCCGCAGGAGACGATTTTAAAAACCGTACCCCAACTCAAAGGTCTCGCGAGCCTTCGCTGGGCCTGCGCCTGGGAGGCCAGCGCGCACGCACAAGACGAAACACACGTGGCGACCACCCACTGGCGGTGAGGTTCGCACGTCAGCCTCTGGCCCTGTGGCCGCGAGGCTGGTGGTGAGCTCAAACTGAACGCAAGCAAATGACACTCCGCAAAACACTGCATCCTCAGACGAAGTTGGTGCCCAGCGCGGAGCAGTGCCGAGCAACCAACGCAGCATCACTACTTCACTACGTCTGTATAGCCCGCTGCCAGCGAAGGACGACAGGCGGCTACGGCGGCGGGTCGCGGCGAACACCGCGACAAGCGAGCACGCGCACTGGTCGGGGACAACAGGCTCGGGGGCCCGCCTTCAGCTGCAATAAATGCACCATCTGTGAACTCTTCTACCACGTGAAGCGCGACCGTGGCGTCGTCGTTCCCCTTGTCAAAAGAAGCGTAGCACGGAAAACATGCCCGAAACCGGCCCACACCACTGCGGCAATGAACCGCCCAACACCGTAGCACCAAAACTGTAACACCAATGCGCAAAACGCCAACGGTTTGCGGGCTGTGACTTCCAAGTCTGAACCCTTGCCGCGACTACCTACGCAGTGACACCACAACGCACAACCCGACGGGTGCCACCCCAATTGTGGGAAGCAATGCGGACACACCCCACCCACTGCAGAACGTACATCGCGAAGCATCACAGCAAGAGAGATACGCCATCATCCCCAAGTGTTGCGCGGGTCATTCGGGCCCACCGCATGGGCACCGTCCGCATCGTCGTAGTAGCTCTCGGCGGGCGCCCTGCTGCCTAGCAGCCACTGAACGGCACCGATCAGCTCCATCATTCATTGCGCACCCGCGCGAAAGCCGACCAATGGCGCGTGAGCGCCGCGTTCAAGCCCTCCTTGGAGTCGAGCTCCCTGCGCATCTGGAGGCGCCTTGCCAAGGCAACCAGCCCTGTGGCGCCCGCTCGCACTCCGCGCCTCCTCGCATAAACCCTCAGCCAGCGGCCTCAAGAAGTCATCGCCACTTGCCGTGTCACCGCGAATCAGGCCAGCAGCGTCGGCCCGACTGCTGCGCACGGGCACCTGCAGCATCTCCATCAGGCACGCGAGGCGCAGCTCCATACAGGGCATGTGTCCCGCCTCCACGTCGTCCCGCCGGGTGACCCAGTCCGCCGCCCTGCTCGTCAAGCAACTGCTGAACCAGGCATCCGCGGTGTCCGCCACCCAGGGATAAAGCGGCGCCCCCATACAGGTGGACTCGCCCGTGTGGCGCTGCACCCGGAAACTGACGGCATCGCTGATGGAAGTCGTGGTGGCGGCTTTGTCACTGCCAGATCGCTTTGACACTGTCCTGAGCAATCGCTGCGCACTCACAATCAGTGTGAGTCGGCCCCAATTTGTGCACGGTCTCGTTCCTCGAAAGATTGTACCGGACGCAAACAGGGTTCACTATAGGCAAATGTTTGTTCTTCCACTGGTGCTCAGTAATCATCATCGCGCCGTGGGACCAGTACGCCAGCACAAATGGCACGAGCGGGTCGAACTTGCGAATGAAGAAGTGACGGGGAGAGGATGACACAGCGTGAGCCCAATTCGACCAGTTTCGCCACTGCGTCCTGCCCCTCGTAGAAATCGCCCATGGCCCACGCCCGCCCCCTGGCGAGGATGGAACGGAAGGCACGGTGGAAACTCTTGGTGTGTTGCACTAACTCGTTGCAGTGTGTATGCATCTTCACATTTACGAGACTGTCCCCCAGCGTTCGGCTCTCCAGCGCAGCTATAATAACTCCATGGCGAAGACTAGCACACAGAAGCGTGAGAAACATGGCTTTGCCATAGGACACTGCGCTTGCTGCGCGGGGGCTTGCGACCCCGCGGATGCCGCCTGAAACCATTCGAGCCAGAACCTTCTGGAAGCGCTTCCCGGCGTTGATGCGTGGTAGAATTCCAAGGGTTGTCTGTTAGGGTTCCTGGGAGCTTCTGAGGTCCTCCCCAAATTCTCGCCGCAGACTTCTTGACTACCTACCAGACCACCCCAACCCAACCCGAAGACCCGAATTTCGGGTTGGGGGGGGTACGGGTTCCACATGTGTTTTTTCGATGTTCCCCGACCCCCCCCCACACTAGAAATCGAGGGCAAATCTGAGCCTTCGGGTTGGGTTGGGGTGGTTTGGTGGGTGGTGACTTCTGCACGCACCGTCCACCACTCCCGTGCCCACTATTTTCTGTAAAGCCCATGGGCCCGCGCCCCCGACGCCACGACCCCTCGCAAAAAAAAACTGTGCAGCTCCGCGCGCACGAGGCCACGATCCGCGCTCCCGAGGCCACGGCCCCCCCCCTCGAAAACCAGTGACTCTGCGCTCCCGAGCTTCCGAGGCGGCCGAGGCATTCAACAAAGGCTGCCGTGGCCCCAAGACGGCCAGGGAGGGCCCCGAGAACCCCCCGTAGGGCCTGAAGAGGCCAAACTCGGAGTGACCCAAGACGGCCTTAGAGAGTCCCTCGACGGCCCAAGATGGCCCAAGGACGGCACCACGACGGCCGCAAGAGACACCCCACACGGCCGAGAGGTCACCACGACGACGCAAGACGGCCCCAAGAAGGCCCAAGAAGGCGCCCAAAGCGGCAAGGGAGACCCCCAAGACTGCCACACAGGAGCTCAAGAAAGGACGGAAGCATGGGAGGGAAACGCACCGGCGAGCAGTGGAGAGTGTGCATGCTCCGCCTTCGAGCCCTCTGCATTTGACGTGCTGCAGTTACTCTTTTGGGTCCCAAGCCCCCCAAGGATTTCCTGGGCGCGCCTGCGAATCGCCGCGTTACTTCTCCAGAGGCCACGGGAACTTGATTGGGAGAACGCATTTCCAAAGTCTCCTAAGATGGCCCCAAAGGAACGTCCGTGGACTCCCTTGGGGGCTTCTTGGGCTGCATTGGAGTCCCCAGGGGCTGGCCCAACAAGCTAACATCCTCCAGGTCCCTCAGGTTTTGTAACAAGCACTGTCGGCTCTGGTCTTCAGAGTGCCCGAGATGGCTCAAGAGGCCACCAAGATCGCGCCCAGACCTCCCCAGAGCCCCCCAAAAATGCCCCAATATCGAGGGAAGAACTCAAACTGACAGTTGGAGCCCTCCACCCCAGGATGGCCTCCAAGACCGCCACAAGGCCCTCAAGGGGCGCCGCAGAGGCTCCCAGAGGCCTCCACGAGGCCCCCTGGAGGCCGCAGGAAGCTCTGAAGAGGCCCCCAAGAGTCTTCCGAGGGGCTTCCAAGAAGCGCCCAAGACGCCTCCCTTCCCCCTCCGCCAGAGACCTTTGAGAGGATGTGTTACGATTTCTTCCAGGACACCCTCGGTGCACGCTCGCGTCTAGAGTTGGCATCGTGAGCCCGCACCCGAGCTGCAGGGACTGCATTCAAATGGGACTGCCGCTCCTTTGAAGGGCTCCATAGTCCAAAATCGTGAAAGCTTCGGTGACTGCACCGCGTGGTCTAAAGTTTGCACCCCGAGAAGCAGCGCTGCCACCTTGGCAAAAAACTAGGCTCCGCGGGAAGCTGCGAGGTCGGGGGCTGGGCGGATCGACAGAGATGGCGCCGCCAGCCACAAGCGAGAACCTCCCGACAGAACTACCGATCACCGACTGTGCAGGGCCCAAGCCGCTGCACGCCCACCGGCATGCTCTTGACACCGGCAGGCACTTGCCAGCACGAGCACCTCGAAGCCGCCATTGTGGCTTGCTCGAGGCTGGAATGCGATCGGCGATGAAAAAGGAAATGAAATCAAGAACCAGAGCGCGCGTCGGCTCGCGCGCGCCGTGCTGCCCGCGCAGCTCAGGCACTGGGCCCAGCGGCGAGGACCGCCGGGGAACACAGGTCGGCGTACTCCTGGAAATTGCCCTGGAACAGCTTCGCCAGGCCGGTCGCCGTCTCCTGGACTCGGATGGTGTGCTAAAAAAGCGAAGATCCACGTTTTGTGTTCGGTTTTAGGTCCAGGCTTTTTCCGTTTGGGGATTCTCGTTCGCGCCGCTGGGCGAAAACCAGAGAGATATGAAAGAAGGATTTTAAGAACGCCCCCCGCTTTTTGAACATTGACTGAGCTCCTGGAACTTACCCTGGGACTGCCCGTTCTTCTGCCACGCCTTCAGCGGCTGGAGAGTCTCGAGCGGCACGTCCTTGATACCCGTCGAGGGCACCTGCAGGCCGAAGATGGGCATCTCTTCCCACCGCATGCCATCCAAAGAGCCGTCGTGGATGGCGTCGATGAGCTGCCGTGTGTCCTTCAGGCTCATGCGGCTGCCAACACCATACGCCCCGCCGGTCCAGCCCGTGTTCACAAGGTACGCGGGCGCTCCGCTCTTCTCGAGCTTCGCAGCCAGCATCTCCGCGTAAACGTAGGGGTGCCACACCAGAAAGGGGGCACCGAAACACGCTGAGAAGGTGGCCTGGGGTTCCGTGACGCCCATCTCCGTGCCGGCTACCTTGGCAGTGTAACCAGAGATGAAGTGGTACATAACCTGCTCTGGAGTCAGCTTCGAGATGGGGGGCAAGATACCGAAAGCGTCACACGTCAGGAGAATCACACGCTGGGGCTGATAATCAACTGTGGCTGGGATGCGAGCATTGTGCATGAACTGCAGCGGATAGGACGCGCGTGTGTTCTCCGTCAGCGAGACATCGCTGTAGTCCACTTCACCAGTGGCCTCATCCCAAACAACGTTCTCGAGGACAGAGCCGTACCGGATGGCCGCGTGCACCTCTGGCTCCTTCTCTGGAGAGAGATCGATGGTCTTGGCGTAGCAGCCGCCCTCAATGTTGAAGACGCCCTTCGTGGTCCACACGTGCTCGTCGTCTCCGATGAGGTCGCGCTTCGGGTCCGCGCTGAGCGTGGTCTTCCCAGTCCCGCTCAGGCCGAAGAAGATGGACACGTCGTTGTCGGGCCCGATATTGGCGGACGCGTGCAGCGGCAGGGCGCGCTCGGCAGGCGGCAGATCTCGCCTGGGCTGCAGCGGCATGAGGTAGTTCATGACAGTGAAGACGCCCTTCTTCATCTCCCCCGCGTATTGGGTCCCCAGGATCACCATCTCTTTGCGCTTAAACGAGACAGCGACGGAGGTAGAGGAGGTCATGCCCTGCGTGCGGCGATTCGCGGGGAAAACGCCAGCGTTGTAGATCACGAAGGGGTCTTGAAACTTTTCTGAAAGCTCCTCCTTCGTCGGCGGCACCAGCATGTTCTGCATGAAGAGGGCGTGGTATGCCCGAGTGGTTATCACGCGCACTGGCACTCTATAGTCCTTGTCCCAGCCGCCGAAGCCGTCGATCACGTACAGGCGCTCGCGGGTGTTCAGGTAGTCGACAGCGCGCTCGCGGTTCGTCAGGAAGGCGTCCTCTGTCAACTCGATGTTCACCTTGCCCCACCACACATCGTCCTTCGAGTCCTCCTCCACGACCACGCGCTTGTCCATCGGCGACCGGCCAGTCTTGACGCCGCTGCACACCGCTAGCGCCCCAGAGGACACGATGCAGCTACCAGGCTCGTGCGCGAGGGCCTGCTGGTACAGCACACCGGCCGGCGAGTTGTAATAGATCTCCTCGACGTCGAGCCTGAGCCTGTTGACCTCGTCCATCACCTTCAGGGCCTCGTCGCGGTTGACGGGGTCGGCCCAGGGGTAGTTCTGTATCTCGTCCTTGCTCCAGCCCTTGATCTCCGCCTGGCGCAAGTGGCTCATCAGCTCGGCGCGGACCCTGTCCTGCTTAGTGATGGATGCTGCATGGCGCCGGTCGAGGCACCTCGGCGCGGTAGCCACCTCAGCCAGCACTCCTGTACGAACGACGCCCCTCGCCCGAACGGCGCCGCGCAGCGCACCCGTGTTGCTGCTCATCATGCGAGACAGCATCGCGGCTGTGCTCCTCCTGTCCGCGCGGCTTGCGCGAGCAGGCAGCACACTCTCAGCCTGGAAGCGAGGCCCGAAAATATCTCGAGCCAGGAGGGAGTACAAGCAAGCTCCGTTGGAGAGGACACGCAAGAGGACACCAGTCCCTTCCGAGGGTCACACTGCCCCAGGGACGCAGAGGACTTGCGACGCGAACACACAAGACACAAAGGCCACCCTTGACTTGGAAGGGCCGACCCACTCGAAGGCCACCAGGAATCCACACGCACATGTTCTGCAGTCCTGCGCCAGGTCCCCGAGGAGCGGGTGGATATTGATACACTCCCGCCCCCAGCAGCTGGTAGATCTCCACATCCACCGCTCCCCGAGGTCTTGGGGCACGACACCCAAGCGGTGGATGTGGATATACTCTGGCGGTGAGCTCGGCGGCCAGAGCCAGGTCGGGCGACCAGAGCTGGCTGCGCGGCTGGCAGCCTGCTCGACAGTCGGAGCTTGCTGGGGAACTCCAGACGGCCGTCTGGAACCCTACACCGTTTTCACAGAGGCCAGGCTACTCCGGACAGTTGAATCGACGATACGATGCATCATCAGTCTTGCCAGCCTGGTGGGAGTGGGCGTTTTAGTGGGCGAGCTTACCCTTTGGGGGTTCATCTTCCCCTACATAGCACCTTCCCAGGGCTCCGCGTGGGGAGAGGGGAGGGCTTGGATCGCCACGGCGTCCAAGATTGCCCCAGGTGGCCCCAAAAAGGTCCAGGATGGCGCAAGGTAGCCCAAACTCGCACACATGGCCATTAGCATGGATTGTATACGCCACATAAGCTCCCAAACGGCTCTAAATGAAGAAACCCAGGGACACACAAATAAATAGACACAGATCCCAAGATTCCCCATGTTTACCGTATGTTCTGGATGTTCGTCTGCCCCTCCACTTCCCATACTTCCCAAATGTCCTTGAAATCAGAGATTATTTGTGTCTGTGTGCCGTTTTCCCTCCTGCCTAAGGTGATAATTAAGCCTCCCAACGATGCCCACGGTTGCAATTATCTGGTCGCATCGCCTTGTCGGCTTCGAGTGGGCCGCGGGAGCATCCAGATGGCCCCACGATGATCCAAGCAAGACCAGGAAAAAAACCAGAAGAGTCCCAAGAGGCCCCCATGAGAACTCCAGGAGCGCTGGCCCCACGATGCTTCTTGTTGCGGATCCCAAGAGTCAGCGCTAATTGACGTCCTCCTTGTGAGGCTGGTCGGCTCCAGGACGGCGTCCAGAGGGCCTGAAAGGCTCCTCACGAGGGCCTCAAGAGGCTTCCACAGGGCCAGATAGAGCCTCGAGGGTACAAGAGGCTTACAAAAGGCTCCAAGAGGTCCCCAAGGTGGCAACAGCACGGACTGTCACAACTTCGATTTGGCTGGTGGCCCCGTTCCTTACTTCACTGATGCCTCTCCACTTCCGTTCCAAGATATCGGCTATGATGGGCTGGTGGGGATACGCTACATTTCTAGAATGATTGCGGATCCGAATCGCCAAGCCTGCCAGCCATGCAGAAGCTCGTAAAAAAGAAATCGCATGATTCGGGCGTTGAGGATGGCTTTTGGACCAGGCTTCACGAGAAGCAATACACCCTGTCTGGACATGTGCTGACCACGGCCGACTGCGCAGTAGACGGTTCGCCAAGTTTGCTTGTCTGGTTTCGGGGGATGCTCAACATCCCCTGATCCCAACGGTAATGGCGTGATGCGAACTTCGGCAGGGTGCTGCCTGGCGTGCTGGGCACGTTCATCACCGCCGCAGGCTGCAGTGCAGCTGCGACAGGGCCTGGATCCGCGAGCGTCGGCTGCCGAGCCTGAGGATTCACAGCCAAGCTACACATCATGGATTAAACTGCAACGCCAGTTATGTCTCCTCATACTCGTCATCATCATAATCATCATCATCATCATCATCATCATCATCATCATCATCATCATCATCATCATCATCATCATCATCATCATCATCATCATCATCATCATCATCATCATCATCATCATCATCATCATCATCATCATCATCATCATCATCATCATCATCATCATCATCATCATCATCATCATCATCATCATCATCATCATCATCATCATCATCATCATCATCATCATCATCATCATCATCATCATCATCATCATCATCATCATCATCATCGTCATCGTCATCGTAATCATCATCATCATCATCATCATCATCATCATCATCATCACCATCATCATCATCATCAGCATCATCATCAGCATCAACATCAGCATCAGCATCATCACAATCGTCATCATCAGCATCATCATCATCATCATCATCATCATCATCATCATCATCATCGGCATCATCATCATCAGCATCATCATCATCAGCAGCATCGTCAACATCATCATCATCATCATCATCATCATCATCATCATCAGCATCAGCATCATCATCATCATCAGATCCAGCATCATCATCATCCTCAACATCATCATCGTTATCGTCATCAGCATCAGCATCATCAGCATAAGCATCATCAGCTGATCGTAATCATCATCAGCATCATCAGCATCATTTTTAGATTCACCTTCATCATCATCGTCATCGCCACCGTCATCAGCATCACAATCACCACCATCACACATCATCATCATCGTCATCATCATCATCATCATCATCATCATCATCATCATCATCATCGTCATCAGCATCATCGTCATCACCGTCATCACCATCATCAGTATCAGCATCAGCGTCAGTATCAGCATCATCATCAACAATCATATCATCACAAGCATACTCATCATCAGCATCAACAGCATCGTCATCATCATCACCATCATCATCGTCACCGTCATCACCATCACTTTCATCCTGCTCATCCTCGTCCTCCTCGAGCCCCATCTCCTCCTCCTCCATCTTCAACTCCTCGTTATCATGATCGCCATCAGCAACAACATCACACGCCGTCAGCACCCTAATCATACAGGTCATCATTTTCGTTCGACTCATCAGTCTATAGACTCCGTGTCCCGCTGTGTCTAGCTCGACCTCCTACGTGTACAGCCTTATCATCGTCCTCCTGCTCGTTTTCATCCTTATCCACCTCCAGCGCAACCTCCGACCCCTTCTCCTGGTACACTTATCCCATCCACGTTCCTGCTCGCGCTCGTGCTCAGAATCCTACGCATACTCCAACTCTTGCATACTCGCCCATGGGTGTCATCATCGTAACCGTCCTCGCCATCGTCGTGCTCGTCAAGACCGTCCTTGACCTCCTGCGCATTCTCCTCCTCGTCATCCTCCTCCAACTCGTCCGCCTCCTACTCCTCATCCTCCTTCCCCTCATCCTCATCCTCCGCCTCCTCCTCCGCATCATCATCCTCGTCCTCATCCTCCACGCCCTTCACATCATCATTATCATCATCATCATCGTCATCATCATCATCACCATCATCATCATCAGCATCATCATCATCATCATCATCATCATCAGCAGCAGCAGCATCAACAGTCATATCAGCATCAGCATCCTCATCATCCGCATCAACAACATCGTCATCGTCAGCATCAGCATCACCATCATCACCATCACATTCATCATCATCATCATCATCAGCATCATCATCACCACCATCATCATCACCTTCACCTTCATCATCATCGGCATCAGCATAATCTTCGATAGCATCAGCATCATCATCGCGAGCATCAGTGGCCTCATCTTCCTCATCGTCATCATCATCACCATCAGTATCATCATCATACTCAGCATCATCAGCACCATCATGATCGATATCATCATCATCATCATCATCATCATCATCATCATCATCATCAGCATCAGCATCATCATCATCATCATCATCATCAGCATCAGCAGCGTCACCACCACCACAACCATCATCAGCACCACCACCACAATCACTAGCACCACCTCCACATTAATCATCACCAGCATCATCAGCAGCCGCATCAGCATCATCATCACCATCACCACCATCATGAGCACCACCACAATCAGCATCATCGAAAGCAGCATCACCGTCGTCATCGTTGTCGGCATCATAATCAGCATCGTCGCACTCCTCCTCCTCCTCCTCCTCAACATCATCATCATCATCACCAGCATCATTATCATCAGCAGCATCAGCATCGTCATCATCATCAGCATCATCAGCATCCTCAGAAGCATTGTCAGCAGCATCAGCATCAGCATTATCAGCATCACAATCCTCATCATTGTCATCATCGTCAGCAGCAGCCGCATCATCAGGATTAATACCATCAACAAGAACAACAACAACAATATCATCATCAGCATCAACGACATCAGCATCATCATCACCAGTATCAGCATCAACAGCACAATCAGCAGCATCAGCATTAATATCAAAATCATGATCACCATCATCACCAACCAAGCACCGCCCAGCGTCCGTCATCAGCACAATCGTCAGCAACAAAAAAACATCATCATCATCATCACCACCGCCACCACCCGTCATCACACATCATCATCACCACCATCAGCGTCCGCATCGTCACCCTCACCCTCGTCCCTCCTATACCATACGTTCGACGCCTCCTATCCATACGTCCCTCCTCCCCCACTCGTAGCACCTCCCCGCCGCTCTCCATCCCCCCTTGGTCCATGCAAGATCAGCCGCATCCGCCCTCATTTGCTACATCAGTGTCCTTCCGCCTCCCTCTCCTGCTCCTTCTCCTCATCCTCTTCGTCTTCCTCCTCATGCTGATCCTGCGTGTGTTTCCACGCCTCCTCCTCCTCGTCATCCTTGCCATCATCAGCATCATCAGCAGCATCATCTGCATTATCAGCACAATCAGCATCATCATCATCGGCGTCGTCCATATCAGCATCAGCATCATCAGCAGCATCATTACCCTCAGCAGCATCAGCATCAGCATCAGCATCAGCATCAGCATCAGCATCAGCATCATCAGCATCATCATCATCATCATCATCATCATCATCATCATCATCAGCATCAGCATCATCATCATCATCAGCATCATCATCATCATCGTCATTACCATCATCATCATCATCATCATCATCATCATCATCATCATCATCATCATCATCATCATCATCTTCCTCATCCTCATCATCATTGTCATCATCATTATCATCGCAACCAGCATCTTCATCTGCATCATCATCATCATCATCATCATCATCATCATCATCATCGTCATCATCATCATCATCATCATCATCATCATCATCATCATCCTTATCATCGTCGTCATCGCCGTCCGTCGTCGCATCACCCGGTTCCTTCGTCGTCCTCCTCATCAGTCCCCCACCTCCTCCTCCTCCTCATCGTCCTCCACCTCCTCCTCCCGCCTTCTCAATCTCCTCATCCTTCTCTTCCATTTCATCCTCCTCCTCCTCCTCCTCATCAGCATCATCATCATCATCATCATCATCATCATCATCACCATCACCATCATCATCATCATCATCATCATCATCATCATCATCATCATCATCATCATCATCATCATCATCATCATCATCATCATCATCTTCATCATCTTCCAGCATCATCAGCATCATCAACTTCTTCGTCATCATTTTCATCATCATCAGCATCATCTTCCGTCTCACAAGCCTCCCTCTCCTCCTCCGCTTTCCCCTCCCCCTCATCAGCATCAGCATCATCAGCATCATCATCAGCATCATCATCATCATCATCGCCACCACCACCATCATCATCAGCAGAAGCATGATCATCATCATCATCATCATCATCATCAGCAGCATCAGCATCAGCATCAGCATCAGTATCATCATCGTCGTCATCGTCACCATCAGCAGCATCAGCATCAGCAGCAGCAGCCTGATCATCGTCGCCGTCGACACCATTATCATCATTATTATCATAAGTATCAGCATTATCATCAGCATCGGCATCATCATCGTCATCATCATAATCAAAAAGGCCATTAGCACTGGCATGGTCATAATCGAAACCAGCAACATCATCATCATCATCATCATCATCATCATCATCATCATCATCATCATCATCATTATCATCATCATCGACATCATCATCCTCATCAGCGTCGGCGTCCTCATCGTCACCAACATCGTCGTCATCATCATCACAATCAGCATCACCATCATGCCCATCATAATCATCAGCAGCAGCAGCATCATCACCATCACCATTACCATCACAATTATTATCATCATCAGCATCATCAGCGACATCATTACAAACATCGACATTATCACCATCATCAACAGCAACATCTTCATCATCCACATCATCACCCAACACGACCACCGTCACCATCATCATCAGCAGCGGCGTCGCCATCATCGATCGTCAACATCATCGTCGTCGTCGCTCGTCACCGGCGTCGTCACCAACATCATACGTGCCGTCATCATCACAATCATCATCAGCATCAGCATCGGCATTATCATCCTCATCATCCTCATCATCGTCGTCGTCGGCACCATCATCAGCATCATCGTCATCATCAGCATCAGCATCACAACCACCATCAGCAAAATCATCTAATCGTCGTCGGCAGCGTCATCAGAATCAGCAACAGCATGATCAACATCACTATCATCACCATCATCAGAATCATCATCACCACCATCATCATCACCACCATCATCACCGACAACATGATGATCAGCATTGTCACCATCATCATCATCATCATCATCATCATCAGAGACATGATCATCAGCATCACCCGCCACAGCAGCATAATCATCAGCAGCCGCCTCATCAG